AAATAGAAAATAAAAGATCACGTATCTGATACTAGATGACATATGTCAATAAATAGCTTATACACATTTATAAAAATCTAGATAGTGAACATGTATAAAAAAAAAAAAAAAAAAAGACTTTACGATGCCTCGTCCGATGCTCTTTCATAGTCAACGGAACGACTGAACACCCGCGCCACAAGAGGCGGTAGAGATGGGCGCCCAACCGGAGCGCCAGGACCCCGGCCTACGTCCGCGCCCTCAGTTTACTTCACCCCAGTGGACCCTGGATGTTTCATGACCGGCCCAGCGGCCTCGAAGAGTGTGGCGAGGCCCTTGCCAGCTCCCAGGCCGCCCCAAAGCCCCAGCCGGCCCACCACGGTTGGAGCGCTTTACCTGAGGCCCAAGCCAGCTCCCAGGCCGCCCCAACGCCCGAGCCGGCCCACCACGGTTGGAGCGCTTTACCTGAGGCCCAGGGACCCCCTTCACCTGACGCCACCCAGCAGCCCGCGGCCAGGTATCCAAGGCCGCATAGTAACCGGGGAGGCGCGGCGGCGCGCTGGGAAGGCGTGGCCCAGGACGCGGCGCTACCTCCGGTCGACGTGATGACGACAGCACGGGAGGCGCCTCTCCGTCGCGGGCGTCATGGGTATTGGAAGGAGCCTGGCTGATGTGGGACTGTGCCATTTGGTGCATGAGGGGTAAATCCAAACACAACGAGAATTAACTTTTTTTTCCACCCCGCTCCCTCCAGAGAATTAACTTTTCACCAAAAATCAACCCACTGAATTTTGTTATTTAATATCAATTTTGACTAAAGACTAATAACAGTAGGACCCAAGGGCCCAAACTTCGCTCCACCCGCAGGTAGCAGAATACTGAAGGCTTCCGGGGGCGGTTGGAGGACGCACCCCCACGATTCCCAAGGTGCTGGCGTAGAGCGGAGCCGGGCGGGGGCGGAGCCCGGTGGAGGGCGGGGCCGGACTTTTAGGAACTACTTACCGGAAAAGGGTGGGCAGGTTTAGTGTTGAGACTAATAACACCGGATAATTCTATTTTATTAACCCCGTATCTTCGCTGGCCATGTTACCAGATCTGAGCGCCAGCGCGGATGGCGATGAGCCCGCCGCCCTTTGAGTGGGGAGTTAGAACTTGAACAGATTCTACAAAAATGTGAAAACTATTTACTGTATTAGGGAGTCTGACGACTAAACTGGTCAAAAAGGCGCCCCCCATGAGCAGATTATCTGAAGAAAGAGTGGCATTCATTAAGGCGAGGGCTGGGGAAGGGCGTTCCGGGCAGAAAGAACTGCTTGTGCAAAGAGCATCACCAACCAATACAAATTGCCCTGCCATCACCATGAAGGTGGGAAGCGGAAGCCAGAACCACCAACAGGCCTCCCGGTTCCCCAGGAAAGCGCCCTGTGCCTGCCTTGAGAGGTGTGTGGATGTGTGAACAACGCTGCAGCAATCTGGAAGACTCACACTGATGAGTGCAGAGAGCTCTGACAGTTTTTGTTTTGTTTTGTTTTTTGAGGTAGAGTCTCAGTCACCCAGGCTGGAGTGCAGTGGCGTGGTCTCGGCCCACTGCAACCTCCGCGTCCTGGGTTCAAGCGATCCTCTCGCCTCAGCCTCCTGAGTAGCTGGGACTACAGGCGCCCGCCACTACACCCGGCTAATTTTTGTCTTTTTAGTAGAGATGGGGTTTCACTATGTTGACCAGGCTGGTCTCAAACTCCTGACCTCGTGATCCGCCCGCCTTGGCCTCCCAAAGTGCTGGGATTACAGGCATGAGCCACCGTGCCCGGCTTCTGACAGTTTTTATTTACATTTATGTTTGTCTTCGAGTTTAGAATATTAAAACACACACAATTTGTGTTGCTTTCCACAATTTTAAAAGTGGAGACAAGTTGGGCGCAGGGGCACTCTCCTGTAATCCCAGCACTTTGGGAGGCCGAGGCAGGTGGCTCTCTTAAGCCCAGGTGTTCAAGACCGGCCTGGCAACATGGCGAAACGTGGTCGCTACTAAAAATACAAAAAATTAGCTGGGCATGGTGGCGTCCACCTGTAGTCCCAGCTGCTTGAGAGGCTGAGGTGGAAGGGTTGATTGATCCCCGGAGGTCGAGGCTGCAGTGAGCCGTCATCGTGCCACTGAACTCTTCTAGCCTAGGCAACCTAGTAAGACATTGTCTTAAAAAAAAGATAAAGAAAGTGGAGAAGAAAATAATTTGAGAATTCTCTTTGGTCAGATGAAGTGGCTCACTCCCAGCATTTTAGGAGGCTGAAGTGGGAGGGCTGCTTGAGACCAGGAGTTTGAGACCAGCCTGGGTAACATAGTGAGACCTTTTCTCTACAATAATAATGGTAATAATAAAAAAAAGAAAATTAGCCAGGCACGGTGGCACACACCTGTAGTCTTAGCTGCTTGGGAGGCTGAGGTGGGAAGATTGCTGGAGCCCAGGAGTTTGCAGTGAGCCATGATCACTCCACTGCACCCCAGCCTAGGCAACAGAGTGAGACTCTG